CGTTACATGTGACACCTTTATTCTGGACTATTCGGGTAGCTCTCATGGAACTCGTTCGGACCACTCAGAGCTGTTTTGGCCTCCTGTGAGGCAGTCTTGGGGATCCCTTGGGGCCGTCTTGGGCAGTCGTGGGGGGCCCTCTTACGCCGTCTTGGGGCTCTCTTGGTCCTTCTTGGGGCCCTCCCTGTCCCGTCCCCCCCATTTACTAATGGCCAACACAGCAGGGCAGGCAGAGGGAGAGGCCACACAGCGACCTTGCATTGAGGGTGCCCCCCCCCCCCGGACCTCCCATCTTTTCATGTTGGCGTTGAGCAGCCCAGCAAAGGACGGCGCGCCGCAGCAACATTGAAGAGAGGGTTTGGAAGGGTCGCTGGTGGTGGGCTCCGCGGTGTCCAACATTCGCAATGCTCAGTGCGGCGGCGGTGCGAGACCAGGTCATCACCCATTGGCCGTGCCAATCAACATGGAGGGGTGGGGTCAGGGGGGTCTCAGGCTTCCATCTCCCGCCCTGTATACCGTGGCGCTCCTGGAGTCGAACTCGCCTTGAGCCACTGGCCGCGTTCACCCCCAGAGGCCCCGACCCTCACCCCCCAGCCGGCGAGGCAGCCGACGAGGCGGCCCACGAGGCAGCTAACGAGTCAGCCAACGAGGCAGTCGATGAGGTAGCAGACGAGGCAGCCAACGAGGCACTTCACGAGGCAGCCAAGGAGGCAGCCGACGATGCAGCCATTGAAGGCAGCCAACGAGGCAGCCAACAAGGCGGCCGACCAGACAACCGACGAGGCAGCAGGGCAGCCGACAAGGCAGCCATCAAGCCAACCAAGCAACCAACGAGGCAGCCACGAAAACAATCAAGCAGGCAGCCATCGAGTCGATTCACCAGGTAAGCAAGACAGCCGACGAGGCAGCCGATCAGGCAGCCAACGAGGCAGCCGACAAGTCAGCCGACCGGGCAGCAGACAATGCAGCCGATGAGGCATCCAACTGCCATGGCGTTCGTCGACGAGGTAGCCAGAATGGGGCGTCCTAGGTAGGATCCCCCTTGCGCGCCCGTGCCCTTGCATCTGTCGATTGTGGTCTGGAGCAGCAGGGCGATAGAGAATCGCACAGGGGATCCGCAATTCGGATCTCCAATCCAGTGTGCCACGAGCTTCAAACAAACCTAGCTTGTGCACTGGTTCGGTATGATGTTCTACCTACCATGTTAGGTCCATGCACGTAGAGATATTTTGTATGCGCGTACATACGTATATAGAGAGAGTAAAGAGATATTCCAGCATACACATATATTCAGAGAGATTGAATGTGTAATGGGAGAGAGAATGAGAGGAAGAGATAATAACAGAGAAAGAGAGAGAGAGAGAGAGAGAGAGAGAGAGAACGAATCTATGTAGAGAGCAGAAGGCGCAGTCTTCCACTCTGCGCAACTGCCTCAAGGAGATACCAGTTCGAGAACTCTCTGCTGGATTATGTGTACCGGCTTCACGTCGGAGACGACTTCACTTGGAGGCCCTATGCGGGGACCCCTGCGTATGCACACCATTCATGGTTGCTGCCTGTACGATCGGATTTGCCTGCGACTGTGGATGTCCTTCTGCATGACAGCGCCTGGCTTTTCGATGGGGCATGTTGCGAGGATGATGATGATGATGAGGAGGAGGAGGAGGAGGAGGAGGGACAAGAGGGTCTAGGAAACGCCCTCAAGAGAGGGGTTGTGTCTCTCGCCTGTCGTGTGGTGGGCAGCTTTGGGCGCCGCTCGACACCCAGTTCGGGGCATACCTTCAAGCCCGAGCGACAGAGTGGAGGAGGAGGACGTCGACGAGCACGATGAAGACGATGGGACCAGCGAGCAACAGGAGGGGCAGGATCATCTCCATGACGCCGACGATAGCAAGGACGCTGCTGAGGACGACGGTCACGACGAGGTCCCCCGAGGCCTCTGGAGGTCCTCGGAAGTCCGCGGAAGCCTCAGCAGGCACATGAAAGTAGTCTACGACCTTCGACTCACGACACATCATCCTCGCTGATCATCGAACCTCGACCCCCGACCCACGACCCTCGATCCTCGTTTCCCGAGCCTGGAACCTCGATCCTCTACCCTCGATCCTCGACCCTCGACCCTCGACCCACAGCACTCGATCCTCGATCCTTGAATCTGGACCCTCGATCCTCGATCCGCGGCCCTCGCTCACCGCTTCCCGATCTTCGAACCCTCGGCTCTCGATCCCCGACCCTCGAGATCCTCGACTCCCCGACCCTCGAGTCTCGACTCGCGGTCCCCGACCTTCGGCCGTCGATGCACAGCTCCCGACTTTTGATTTCAGGTTTTTGAGTTTTGAGTCTTGAGTCTTGAGAGTTCTGATTCTCGGTTTTTGATGTTCGACCGTCGATCCACAGCTCTCGAGCCTCGCCTCTCGCTCCTCGACCCCCTCGCTCCTCGATCCACGACCCTCGGCCCCCTCGATCCTTGCCTGGGTCACGACCCTCGATCCCCCGACCCTCTCTCTATCCTTGACATGCCTGACCCCGGAAATCTCTGCCCCCGATCCTCGACCCCCGACCCTCGACTCCAGATCACGAGACCCTGGAATCTCTGCCCCCGATCCTCGACCCCCGACCCTCGATTCTCCAGATCACGGCTTCCGAGACTCGATCCCCGAGCCCCGAGATGCCCGTTGTCCGACCCTCGCTCCTGGGTTCCGACCCTCGATCCTCCACCCCGGCCTTCGATTCTCGATTCCCGAGCCTCGATCCCCGATCCCCGACCCTCGATTCTTGATTCCCGACCACAGAACCTCGACTCGGGATCCTCTATTCCCCAACCTCGATACCTCGATACCTCGATCCTCGATCCTCGACCCTTGATCCTGACGACTTTCGCTCCTCGATCCTCGACCCTCGATCCCTAATCCCCGACCCTTGATCCTCGATGCCACACCCACGATTGTCGATCCTCGATCCCCGACCCTCGATCCTTGATTCCCGAACCCCGATCCCCGACCCTCGATCCTTGAGTCCTGGCCCTCGAACTTCGACTCTCGATTCCCGACCCTCAGTCCTCGATTCCCGGCCCTTGACATTCGAGCCTCGATTCCTGGCCCACAACTGTCGATCCTCGATCACCGAGCCTCGAGCCTTGATTCCCGACCCACGACTTTCAATCCCCGACCCACGAGCCTCGATCGCAGACTCTTGATCCTTGATTCCCGACCCTCGACTCTCGATCCTCGACCCTTGATCCTCGATTCTCGACGCACGACTCTCGATCCTCGAGCCTCGATTCCGAGCCTCGATCCCCGATCCCCGACCCTCAACTATTGATCCTCGACCCTCGATCCTCGACCCTCGATCCTCGATCCTCGATTCCCGACCCACGACTTTCGATACACGTCCACCGAGCCTCGATTCCCGACCCTTGATCCTCGATTCCCGACCCTCGACCCACGACCCTCGATTCGCGAAGCACGAAGTTGGATCCCCGAGCCTCGGTCCCCGAGCCTCGATCCCTGCTTCCCGGCCCTCGAACCTCGACTCCCGATCCTCCACCCTCCATCCTCGATTCCCGACCCATGACGTTCGGTCCTCGACTCCGAGCCTCGATCCCCGGCCCTTGAGATATATGATTCCTGACCCTCGAACCTCGACTCTCGATCCTCGACCCTCGATTCTGGACCCCACACCCACGACTTTCCATCCTCGATCCCCGAGCTTGATTCCTAACCCTCGAACCTGGACTCTCGATTCTCGACCCTCGATCCTCGATTCCCTACCCACGACTTTCGATCCTCGATCCCCGAGCCTCGATCCCCGATCTTCGATCCTTGATTCCCGACCCTCGAACAACGACTCTCGATCCTCGATCCTCGATCCTCGATTCCCGGCCCACGACTTTCGATCTTGGATCGACGAGCCTCGATCCCCGAACCTCGATCTTTGATTCCCGACCCTTGAACCTCGACTCTCGATCCTCGACCCTCGATCCCCGACGTTCGATCCTCGACCCTCGACCCTCGATCCCCGACCCTCGACACTCGATCCTCGAGCCCCGAGCCTCGATCCCCGACCCCCGACCGTCGATCTTTGATCCCCGACCCTCGAAACTCGATTCCCGACCCACGACCCTCGATCCTCGACCCACGACGACGAGGTCGACGGCGCTGCCGCCACGCTCCGCGAGGCTCTACTGGCTGGGCCTCAACTCGACCTCGCTGGTGCAGACCAACGAAGCCAGCTCGCTCGAAGCCGCCGCCCCTGCCCGCCAAGGGGGGTGGGGGGGCGGGAGGAGGGATCGAGAGGGGGGGGGAGGGACGAGGTAGTTCCGAGAAAAATCAGCCTACGCGCCAGGAGGGCGTTCCCTGACCGGATCTGACGCTACGAGCTCTACCTCCGCGGCGGGCCTGAAAAACAGTCTCCGACCTCGCGCCGTGGTGCGAGTTCTCGGCAGTCTTCAGCCATAGGTGGCCCCTCACCAGGCCCCGGGGACGCCAGCAGACTGCGCGGGATGAGGAGTCTGCCTTGGGAGAGGGCCCAGACCTGTGGGGAGCCACGCTGCGACTAGCTCTCGCAACGTCGGACGTCTGGGGGAGAGGAGGGCTCGGGCCCTGCAGACTCTGGCCCGCGAACGGGCCTGCTCGCGTGCTGTGGCACCCGAAGAGCTACTCCCCGACGGGCCCTGGGGGGCTCACTGCTCCCCTCTTCGTCCCGTGCTCGAGTGGGGTGGCACCCGGCGCGCCGCAGAGCCAGCGAGGGAAGGGTGCTTCGGTCCGACGCACGTTTCGATGATGTTCGATTGCCCGATTCGATGCCGGCTGCTCCTGCAGTGGTTTTGGCCTGATTTAAACAAGGAACGATTGATGTGGATGCAGGGCGCGCGAGAGGGGCGTGGCCAGGCGGAGGGCTGCTGGATAGGGCGCTGTCGAGGCTGTCTTGGGCTGTCCGTCTCGGGAAATAGCTGGCGTCATGCGTTGCTTCCTTGCTTTTTCTTCTTACAGCGTGGAGCCCTGGAGGCCTTGACCTCTTCTGAGGGGTTGGGTTTGGGGGGACAGACTTAGGGGGGACAAATCGACCCCCACTCGCCTATCTACGGTAGGCACATCAAATCGGTAATCGGCCTGCCAGCAGGCGCCTCACAGAAATGTCATACTCCTCCGTGGGGGGGGGGGGCAGGGACCCAACGAAGCTCGGGTGCACCTTGATACCTTCAAAGATCGACGAAGGGTGCGCCCCAATATTCTTATAACAAGATTTGTTATCGTATATGTGTGTGTGTGTGTTTACTGCTTCGGCGGCTATGTATCGCCGATTCCAGCTCGATGTCCCCCCCCGCGGAGCCGGTCTCCCCTCGCCTGACCCAAGGGCCGGCTTTTCCTGTCGAGCCTCTCTGCGTTGACGGTCCCGGGAGCCCGGCCGTCATGTAGACCCCACGTCCTCGCGCCGCGAACAAAGCACGACTCAGTGTGAAAGCCAAGCCCGTGGCTTGTGCTTGCGGAGCGAATCCACCTCGAGGTTGATTTGGCCCTTCTCCAGGGGCCCTCCAGAGCGATTCCTTTTCGCCCCACCTCTTCATCGAGAACATAGAAGCCCCCCATCCAAACGTGACGATGAAGACGTGGCCTCACTCAGGTCCCCGTCTTCGCGTTAGGGATATATTGGCGATTATGGTCGGTTTGGTCTGACACATCTGCAGAAAAGACGCCCTATCCCTAATGTTTCTGGCCCTCCCAACTTGGGCCCCCTGCCAAAGGGCTGGGGGTACTTGTCTTGTCCCTCGACCTCTGGCCCCGCCCACCCCTGACGCCCGCCCAGCCCCGGGGGGGCCCGCGGGACCTCCACTGTCAGGAGGGGCAAAAGCACACGGACACAGTTGGTCGTCGATCCCCGAGAGAGTATGCGAACGTGTGGGAAGTGGGGTCGAGACGAAGACCCAGAGCACATGAGAACACGTGGCGAACCTTGGGATTCGTGTCTATCTCTTTGTGTGCCCCTGGGCCCCTTCACGACGGAGACACCCCGTGAGCCTTGCCCAGTCTTCGGAGGTCATGGGCCCTGGCAGGAGCGGGTCCTCCGCCGTGCTCGGTCTCCAGGGGGGTCCACCCCGGGCCGCGTGGAGCGTATTTTGTTGATGCCCTCTGGGCCAAAGCACGCGTTGTGCCCCCCTCCACTTCCCCCCCCTTCCCCCCCCTCCTCCCCTCCATGACTCCCTCCAAGATGGGACCCCTCGACACCGGGGCCACCCCGTGAGCTTTTCCCGGCGTCGGGGGTCGTGGGTCCTGGCAGGAGCGGGTCCCGGAGGCCCTCGGCCTCCAAGGGGGGCCCTCCCCGGGCCGCGTGGAGCGTGCTCTTTTACACCCTCTGGGCCATCACGCGCGTAATGCCCCCCTCCTCCTCCCCCCCTTCCCCATAACTCCTCCTCCTCCCCCTCCTCCTCCTCCTCCTCCTCCTCCTCCTTCTCCCCCTCCGCCTCCTCCCCCTCCGCCTCCTCGCCCTCCGCCTCCTCCCCCTCCCCCTCCCCCCCCATAACTCCTTAGGCCTCCTAGATGATGTCGGAGTGGATGGGGTCGGAGGAATATGCCGCATCGCTGGTGCATCGGCGATGCATCGGCGATGCGGCAGGAAGGATGTGGGGCCCACTTTTCTCCACGCCGGCGTCGCCGATGCATGCATTGGCGATGCATCGCCGATGTATCGGCGATGCGGCGAGATTCTCCGACCCCATTTGCTCAGACCCCATCTTGGAGGCCCCTAATCACGTAAAGCCCCCCCCCATCAGTGCGTCCCCAGCACTGCCGCAGGGCGTCCGGCAGCACAGTCTGGGGAAGGGGGGGGGCGCTACGTTCTGCTTCCTCCCGCCCCTCCCCCCCCTCCTCCCTCCCCTCCCCCCTTTCCCCTTTCTCCCCTCCCCCCCCGTCCCTCCCCGCCTCCCCTCCCTCCCCTTCACAATTACTCAATATGAATACTACTCTCCCTCTTCCCCTGATGGCGTCCAGGGAGTAGTAGACCCCCCCCCCCGCGTACTGGTTTTTACACACAGGATTCCCGGGAGTTGGGTTTTCGCTTGCGTTTTTTTTCAAAATGCTGCTCTCGCTGAGGCGCCGGCCTCATTTCTGCTCCCGAATCGTTCCGAATCGTGCTCCCGCTGCAGCGTGGGCCTCATTTTCGGATCGGTGTTTGGCCTCCGTCGTTCAGGATGGCGTTCTCGCCCCAGCGCGGGCCTCTTTCTCGCGCGCCCATCCGCCCGCCACCACCGCGCCGCACCACGCCCCGCCCCGCCGCACGCACACCCACCGCCACTTCCACCCACCAACGCACGCACGCACGCACGCGCACCACCACCGCGCACCGCCACCACCACCGCACTACCCCACCCACCACCACCACGCTACACCGCGTCACACCACATCACACGCGCGCACACACAGACACACACGCACGCACGCACGCACGCACGCACGCACGCACGCACGCACGCACGCACGCACGCACGCACGCACGCACACACAC